TCGAAGTGATTACATAATCGAGTACCAAAGATCGAGAGCATATAATGACGCACTTGCTCTCGTCACTCCTTTTCCTCCTACCTCCATCATCTCCCCAACCCTCTTCCCCCAACCGCTATGTCGTCTCTTTTGTCCTCTCCAGGCCAGTCCTCTGCCTACAAGCATCCTCCAGCAGGCACACTGCCTGCAACTGCCTAGACAACAAAGGTCGCTGGATTCGTCTCTCTAATCTGCCACTGCAATGCCTGCGCTGAGCCTCAGATCTTGTGACAACACGGCCGAGCTGGCTACACAGTCCTTCAGTGTAAAGCGTAAGTAGCCAGTCCACTTCATAATAACTCGCACAATAGTTGCTCATCCCTCTCCTCCCAACTTCTTGTCTCCCTTTCATCCCTCCCGCTCCTCGCTCTGCCTCTTGCGTTGCCTCTCCTTCGTTGTCCTCCTTTTTATTATGCTTGCCTTCTTTTTTGCATTTGCATTCGCGCATCCGCATTGTTGACCGACTTCTTCAATAATTCCATGCATTCGTGTACTTCTTCCCGCTCAGCAACGCAAGCAACAATCGGTGAGTACGCGCTCACAACAATGTCCATGTATTACCACTCCTCAGGCACAATCCTCTCTCTGACCCCCCACACACTCTCCTTCCACACCTACCATCCTATGCTTGACATCACCCTCGATGGGCCCACGCTGTGTGCATTTATATACCCCAGTGCCGTCCATGACACCATTTTGAATAACAGAAGCAGTAGCCACCGCTCACCTCTCCTGAGCCAAGTCCGCCCGCACCACCCACTTCATCCTCTCCCTTCGAGCCAGAACGTCCTAGAGATACACCTTCGAAGTCATCCACAACTATTACTGAGTTCACTGCACCTCCGATTGCACGTCGCGTCGTAGCTAGAGCATGCAACGTGCTTGCACAGACACGTTTCCCCTGCAGCCCAAATTAGCTCGCTCAACGCTCCGGATTTCCAATCCAGGTGACCCACCCACACTCGCCACACGCTGTCACAGTGCGTCCATCTTTTCGCTCTTATTGTCACTTGCTAATCACTCTAAGCTTGTCTCACAGGTGCAGCCTCAATCTCCACAACCTGCTCAACCTCATTCCACACACACTCGCAGTTCAACTTGCAGGGACCGAGCAACAACCAAAACGTGGTGACGAAGACTACATCGAACGGCCTGAGAATGCAGTCATCCTTGTCCAACACAAATCCCACTCGCAGAAGAATGAGGCAGAGGCAGCTGGTGGTGTAGGGGTTGGGACTGTAGAAAT